AAGACAATTATCTAAAACTTGGAACTGAAGCAAGAGGGTGCCTGCAAGTCTATCAGTGACAGGCCAGTTCAAGATTATTTAATTCTCTCGGAGAAGGTAACATTGTTTCACCTATTACTGACTATTGATGAGGGCTCAGCCTATAAGCTCAATGCTAACTTGTACACTTTGATCCTGTAGAAATAAAAAAAATTTTTTTTGCCTGGTAGAATATTAACTCATTAAAATTTCTCATCATGAGAAAAAAATGCAACTCTGTGAGGTGATGGCTATTAACCAAACTTATTGTGGTGATCATTTCACAATATACACATCCATCAAATTATCATGTTGTATACTTTAAACTTATACAATGTTATATGTCAATTGTACATCAATAAAACTAGCAAAAATAAAAGAGAGAGAGACAATAACTGAAAGTTTACTGTTTTATTATCGCCCTCTAGGACATTAACCAGTTTTACTTCTAACTTAAAGATTTACATCCTCATGATTTTCTTACGTAATGTTTTAATTTTTTAAAATTTTTATGTTTATTTTTGTTTTTGAGACGAGAGTGAGAAAGCATGAGCATGGGAGGAGCAGAGAGAGAGGGAGACACAGAATCCAAAGCAGGCTCCAGGCTCTGAGCTGTCAGCACAGAGCCCGACGCGGGGCTCGAACCCACAAACCGTGAGATCATGACCTGAGCTGAAATCGGATGCTTAACCGACTAAGCCACTCAGGCACCCCATTTTAATTTTTTTTTAATGTTTATTTATTTCTGAGAGACAGAGAGAGAGAGAAACAGAGTGCAAGTGGGGGAGGGGCAAAGAGAGGGAGACAGAATCTGAAGCAGGGTCCAGGCTCCGAGCTGTCAGCTCAACACGGGGCTCAAACCTACAAACCATGAGATCAATCGTAACCTAAGCTGAAGTCATATGCTTAACCAACAGAGCCACCCAGGTGCCCTTTAAGTAATGTTTTAAATATGTGTTACTCAAGTCCTCTGGCCTGACATTAGCATCTTAGTTCTCTCATTACTTAGTTAAATGAATCTTTGATGTGTATTCATTTAATATTTGTATCAGACTCATGTTTTTAACATTATGAAAATCATATTTGGAGAGCCTTTTTTCTTCAAGGACTTCAGACTCCAGTGGGGGAGTTAAGAAATGTTTACACATATATAAAATGCAACGTGGATAGTGGGAAATTCTTTAGGAGTGGAAGTTTTCAATGTAGGGAAGTAAAATTGTCCAGACTCTTAATAATGACTTTATAAGTCACCATGTATTAAATCTGTAACGTCATCATATCACATTCTTTCATTTTCCCTAAAAGACCCCTATCTGGATACAAGTCCCATGCAGTAGCAAGCGGAAACAAGTATGGAGAAGCATGGTTTGTGAACAAGGCTCCTCTTGGGATTTCTCCTCTTATGAAGTGGACTGGGGGAGGGGAGTAGGTCAATGTGCCAAATTGGGGTGGGCATTCTCATTACTTTCAACCATTTTATTACCTCCCTACACCCTTACCATATCCTACTCTGACCCTTGAGAAACAAAGCAACCCCCAGCGTTGTTCTCCACAAAGATAATTCTCCTGCTAGAATTCATTCAGTTTGTTGAGGTTCAAGGAAAGAGAACAACAAGGTTCTCAGAGGCTTTCTTTCTGCGGGCGGTCATGAAGTGAGGGGTTGCAACAGACAGCATGTTGGCAGGTTTACTGCTCTCTTCAGTATAAATGGAATACTCCTTATTCCCCCAGGCCTGAAGAGTCAAGGAAATAGAGTGGTTCCCATTACCAAAAGTGAGAGAGAGAGTTGTGTGTTGGGGGACATATGGGGCTTACTCAATACTGCAACTTCCGTCTCCTCTTCCTCTCATCTGCTGTCTGAGCGCAAGGGAGCCTGCTGATGTAATACGCACAGATCAAGGACCCAAGAGATAAGCTAGGATGGAGAAGGGCAAAGGCTGGGTCTAGACAGAGAAACAGAAGATACAGGGCACACAGCTCATGTCTGGGAAAACCACATGATCACTCACGCCAGGCACTGGATGTTAAATCTAATCTTTACAACATCTAATTGAAGTAGGCATGATTACCCTTATTCCAGGGATGGGGAAGTGGAGTCCAGCCCCTAGGTAGTAAGTAGGCTCCACAGCTCTGATCTTCCCACTGTGACCCACAGTCCTAAGTTCTCCCCTGGAGGTGCTGTTTAGGGTAAGAGAGTCTGAAGCCCCTTGAAGCCTCCATCCTCCCCCAACTGCAGCTCCTGCCTAGGGGTAAAGAGGGTTAGCTGTTCCAAGGGGACTGGCTTACCAACACTGCCCTGAAACACACTGTTTGGTGGGGAAGTCCAGGACCCATTTTCTTAGGAAGACTCATACTGGCCCAATGCTTTTTGACTTGTGCACTCTGACAGTATACATTAATAAATGTATAATATATATTTATAAATATATTTTACACTATATATTTATATATGATATGATATAATATAATATAAATTTGTACTTACTTATATATTATACATAATTTGCATTTATAAACATATATTACGTATTACTTATATGTGTTACTTATTACTAACATATGTTGTATATTTATATATATTATACTTATAATATATATTTATTTTATTATATATAAATATAGTCACACTATACAAGTTGAGAAAGATTGAGCTAGTATGAGTTTTCCTAGAAAAATTAATCTAGGACTCCCCCTACTAAACAAAGCATATATTCAAATATATATACTTGTAAATGTAAATCCTCTCTATCTCTCTATCTGTCTATCTATCTATCTATCTATCTATCTATCTATCTATCTCTCTATCAAGAGGAGATGAAATAAGAATGAATGGCACATAGTACTCATGCAAGCATTGTGACCACTATTCAGGGGGCCAGATGAGGCACAGAACAAAATAGGTCACAAAGAGCCAGTCCTCAAACATGTGTTGCTTTGGATATTAGTATGTGGTGCCATTACATTCATTCTCATGCCTGCTAAACTTGGGGTGAACTTTGAAAGTGGCAGGGGCTCAAATGGCTGGTCATCTATAGTAAGAGATTTAAGTAAGATGCATGCAGAGAATAGTCATAGAACGAAACCCTTTAGAGCAATGAGCAAACTACAACCACACCAAACAACATAGAAGAACCTCACAAACATGACAGCGAACAAAGCAAGTCAGATACCAAAGAACATAAAACATGATTCTATTTATACAAAGTTTAAAAGCAGGTGAAACTAACAATGCTGTTAGAAGTTAGGACAGTGGTGCCCCCAGGGATGCTAGTGACCTGCAGGGAGCCCTTGAACTTCTGGGGCACTGACCATGCTCTGTTTCCTGGTCTGGAAGCTGGTCACGCAGTACGTTCACTTTGTGGAAACTGACTAAGCTGTGTGCTTACGATCTGTCCTCCCTTTGGTATGCGTGTCACTTAGATGCAGAACTTATCCAACTACCAAAACAGAAAAGAAAACAGAAAAGAAATCCCAGAGAAATGGCAAGTGGCAAGATCACAGACATTTCTTAAAGATGCCAAGCTTCTCTATTACTTCTATTTTCTGAACAATAAAAGGCACAAGGAAACACAGCTTTTGAAAAAAAGAGGGGCTCCACCTGTAGAATGGGGAACATCTCTGTGGTAAACTCATGTCTTTTCTCCCTTTTATTATGCCCTTTTCTCATGAGCCTTTCTAGTAGTCATGGGTATATTGTTAACCTTGAATGTTTCCCGCCCCCCTCAGGCTCAGCTCCTATCTTCATTAGTTGTAACCAAACTTACATCTCCATCACCTTTACAGAAATGTCTTCTCTGTGCTGGCCTTGTCCCAACACTCATCATGTACCAGCTCAGTGCCTCCCAAAGTTCCTCACCCGGTGGGTACAATTACATCATCTCCACTGTACAGATGACAATGCTGAATAGAGAATATTACCAAAGTCGCTCAGCTCATAAAGGGCCCAGCTGGAGGGGATGGTGACTGTGAATTTGGCTGACTGACAGGGGCTGTAGGTGTTAATACCGGACAGTGGAGACAAGAGACGGCAGTCTGTGTTGGTGGAAGCCACAGGGAAGAGTGTTAACCACTCCAGCATAAAGGGAAGGATCAGGACACAGAGAGAACCAACCTAGATGACTGACGGGCAGCCTTTCAAAAGATGCCTGCCCTTCAGGAAGAAGGGAGTGGTCAGTGCTTTAGTTTTTCATCTTCACAGTCCCCTATTAAGACATAGCTAGTCTTGGGGCACTTGGGTGGCTTAGTCGGTTAAGCGTCCGACTTTCGCTCAGGTCATGATCTCGCGGTTCGTGGGATCGAGCCCCGCGTCGGGCTCTGTGCTGACGGCCAGCTCAGAGCCTGGAGCCTGTTTCAGTCTGTGACTCCCTCTCTCTCTGACCCTCCCCTGCTCACGCTGTCTCTCTCTCTCTCTCCTAGAAATAAATAAAACATTTAAAAAATTAAAAAAAAAAAAAAGACATAGCTAGTCTTGAGAATAGTCAAACCAGACCTGCCTGGCAAGAGCAGGGCACAAGGTGGGGATCTAGCTCCTCATGTTGATGGAACATGATCCCAGAGATCTTTGGGAGGAGGTGGCACAGGGAGAGAGTTTCTGGGCTGGGCCCAGGATGCAGGATTCCCGACTCCCAGCCTCATGTTCTTCCTATTGAATTGTGTGCTTCACAATTCGGTGCTTAAAATACCCTCTAAATAAACAGATGGAAGGACAGACAGATGAATAAACAAATAGGATTTCAAAACCCCATTGGCATAGGCCCAGCTGAATCACCCTACCTCTCTGATGTTAGGATCCTGGGGTGTGGGGGGATGAACAGAGGCTCTGGCAGAGATGGAGAAAGTTCTCCCTGCCTCAGTTTCTGGCCTGGTCCATGGATGAGGTGGCCCCAAGTTCTGCCAACATGACATGGCCTGCCTCAGTGATGTCATGAGTAGTGAGAGAGAATGTAGAGACAGCATGGGAGGTTCCAATGTGGACGGCCACTGGTGCATGGCTGATTCACCATTCAATACCCAGCGAGTGCACCAAGCAGAAGCCCTGGGGGAGCAACATGGGGGAATAGGGACAGAAGGAAGACTCTGAAGGAGATGAGGTGTAGGAGCCCAGGTGTTTTGTTCTCTTAAATTCACTTCTGATTCTGAACACTTTCTGAATCTACTTGATTCTCTTCAATGTCAAATAAGAATACAAATATATTATATATGTATGTCTATATACATATTTATTTACATATACACATTTATAAGTGTGGATACACAAGTGTATACCTGTGTTCACCAAGCTCCTGGAAAGTGGTAATAAGCTGAGTTATCACCTGAACCTACTTGTTCTCAGAGTGTGGCCCCCAGACCAGCAGTGTCAGCATCACTTGTTAACTTGAAAAATGCTGACTCTCAGGCCCTGTCCTGGGGTGGAGCCCACCAGTTTGTGTTTTAACCAGCCCTTCCAGTAATTCAGAGGCAGGCTAACATCTGAGATCCTGGGCTCTACCCAGGAGATCTCAAGTGGCTGAGTAGTAGTTAAGGAGCTATTATTCTGAGGGTCGCTTTAGCAAAGGGAAAAGTTTTCCGGAAGTGAAGGACTCTCACATGGTTGGTGAACTGGGGAAAATGTAACTAGGCAAAGAGCAAAAGAGCTCCCAAGGCATCCAGCCCGGCATCAGGAGACCCTCTGAGCAGTCACCTACTCCTCAGGGATGGCCATTCCCCTGCAATGAGGACACTAAGGGCAGTGCTCCTCAACCCTTGGGTCCCTGGGTGAGGGAAGGTGCCACGGAGTCAGGTGACATTAGGAACCAATACATGAGGTGAAAAGGTAGAATGTTCAAGATGGATGCTGTACTATAAGACTCAACTCACTTCCCACTTATCGCCAGCATCAATATCTTATAGCTTTGTCCTGCTCATTTAGGTAGCTAGTGTTCTGAATGGGACAGCAAAGGGTTTCTAACTGACATCCCCTTCGCAGTGTATCTGTCTCTGAATAAGCCTCTCTGGGCTATGGGGAGGGACAGGCTTGGGCCCTAATTGGCTATGGGGTAAACTTTTCTAGCTCAGAGGACTAGCATATTAAACAAGGCCCATGAGGGAGCCCTCGGGAAGGCCAGAGAGAAATTATATGAGAGAAGAGGGAAGAAAGAAGGCAGGAGACAGAGGAGATAATTGGATCAAAAGTTTCCCTTAGGCGCCCCAAATGCCAAGTGCCTATTACCATGGTTTGGAGATGGCTCCTCTTCAAGCCCGAGAGTTCCCTGTGAACCCATCACAAGGATAAATCCCAAAGTGCCCAACATCTAAGCTGCAGCTTTCCAGGAGATGAAAGAATGACTCAGGTATGAAGTTGGAGAAGCAAAATCTTTCTGTTCCCAGCATATCTACAGTCCTTACCATCATAACCAAATGTGACCCATTCCAAAGGGAAACACCCCTGAGGAGCATTCCTTCAACAGCTCCCCTGCACACTTGCTCCTTATCCTTCGGGGTGGCCTTCTCGAAAACAGAAGCCTGATGCATGAGACCTATCCAAGAAAATGCTCTCTTCAGACAACCCACAAAGGTCCTGACTGGATAGGGCTCATGTAGCGGCCAGAGCTCTGCTCTCCTCCAGCAAATTTATACCTCATTCTGTGAAAATGCCATTTGTTTGCTTCAGCTCACTCTCCCATTCACTCCCCAAGTTTGCAGATAGAGAAAAATCCATTTTTAACCAAATGCTGTAGTCAGCCCCTGAGAGATCCAGGTGCTCACCTTCCCCTGTGGTCTAGAGAAATGCACACAGTATGCAGAAACTTCTCCAACAAGGCACGTTACACAAACTTATGAATGTCTTTCAAAATCCCAGCCTTTGAAAGCAGGCTCTATAAGGTCAGAATATAGAGTTTGTTACAAGTGGATCTTCTCATTCTCCGACCAAAGGAAATAAGTTTCTTGCTTTCCCAAAGACAAAAAATGTATCTTCTGATCCCTCCCTCCCACATGCCACTGCTGGTTCTCTCCTTCCCTGGCCAGGATCTCAGGCCTGGAGTCCAACTATTAGAAGATCATGTTCCCCGGAATTCCCACCCCTCCCCAAGGGAATTTCTCCCATCCCAGGTCTTGAACAAAGATTCCACGATGCATGTTTGATCTCTTCACGCTCCATTTTCATTAGTCCTTCACACTTGCCATCACTTGGAAAAATACAAACAGCATGGTTCAGTTTTAAGGTTAAGAACTGACAGTCTCCATAAACATTTTTACAATGGAAGCTGACTTATCCACTGCCAGGATTTGGTGTCTGTGGGAGGGGGTGAGGTGGCATGAAGGCAAGGAGTGAGTAGTAGAAGCCTTCAGCATCAGAACGAGAGAACATGTACTGGGCATTAAATGTGGGTGAAAGATGCCCCTGTGGCATTGCTGGCAAAAAACTGGGTTGATCCATCTCTGGATAATTAAGGCATCACAAGGAGAGGCAAGGAAATTGGAGATGCAGTGTACCTCAGGTATGAATCCCTGACTTACAGAAAACACAAAGCAATCAGTGGTCCTAAGTTGGGAGATTGCATGTCATGAATATTAAAAGTGACCAAGGAAGGCGCCTGGGTGGCTTAGTCGGTTGAGCGTCCGACTTTCACTTAGGTCATGATCTCGCGGTTCGTGGGTTCGAGCCCCGCGTCGGGCTCTGTGCTGACTGCCAGCTCAGAGCCTGGAGCCTGTTTCAGTCTGTGATTCCCTCTCTCTCTGACCCTCCCCTGCTCACGCTGTCTCTCTCTCTCTCCTAGAAATAAATAAAAAACATTAAAAAAATTTTAAAAGTGACCAAGGAAGAGGTTATAAAGTCATTCTCATTCTCAGGAAGAGAGAGACAGGGGGTAAAATAGATGGGTGCAAAGTAGACCCAGAAGTTAACCCACACTCCACCCTAAATCACTTCAAATATTTAATAGCTAAACTTATTTGGGATTCATTTTGAATGGTATATGGGCAGACAAGCTTCAAGACATTCATTCATTTACTCACTCAACATGTAATTACTGAGAGCCAATTACTCCATTCCAAGCACTGGGAATGCAATGGTAAATAGATACCATTCTTGCCTTCATGGAGTTTATGGTTTCTAGCAGGGGTTCCCAAATTTGCTATACCTCCTGATGCCCAGGTCACACCCCAAATCATTTAAATCAGGGTGTCTGGAATAGGACTCAGGTACTTTTCAAAGATCTCTAGGGGATTCCATTGTGCTGCTAAGTTTGGAATCAGGATTCTTTTTTTTTTTTCTCAAGTTAGTTAACATACAGTGTAGTCTTGGCTTTGGGAGTAGAACCCAGTGATTCATCTCTTACATATGACACCCAGTGCTCATCCCCAAAAGTGCCCTCCTTAATGCCTGTCACCCATTTAACCCCCCCACAACCCTCCTCCCCACTTAGGATTCTTAAGTGCATTGCAGTGATTTGCCACATCAATGAGCACCGAAGCCTTGACAATCACTTACCCTAGCAGCTCCTGCTCTGCCTTCTGAAGCTCCAAGTGTCCACAAGGACTTCATTCTAATGTCTTTAGGACAAGTGCAATATTCTGTGTAGGTCCAAGAGGAGTTCCCTAACTACAAGTACCAGCCACATTTTTAAACACTGGGTAGGAGCAGCTTCTTATTCCAAACCCTAAATCAGAACACATTAGCCAGCACCTAATCTGATAATGGTATAAGATATTTGAGACCCAAGCCATCCCAGAAACTCTAAGCCTCCCTGCTGCCATAGCTACAAGGTCATTTCATGGTATAAATCCTGGGAGCAGACTCCCAGCGGGTTTAAATCATCCAATGTCTTTGTTAAGACAGAAAAAGAAAACTTGCTTGATAAGCCCTTTCCCTCTGGTCTTTCTGAGCTTTTATATCCTGTATTTCCCTTCAAGCAATCAATGGAAATCCATTATAGATTTTCTTGAATCTACTCTTGGATTTTCATCAATTTAGAAAGGAAACATTACATTAAGTCTTTTTCTGGAAGGCCCCAGGAAGTTTCAAACATGAGAATTAAAGAAAAGAGAGAGAAAAAAGGGGTCTGCTTTGAAGTTGCAATGAACATGCCAGAAGAAACAAAACCAAATAAAATAATAAAAAAACACAACCCAAAACCAAAACGATGGATCCTGAGAAAAATGTTGCAGGAGAAGGACTTCCCCTGCTTCCCATTGTGCGTTCTTAAGGCTGAAGTGGTCCCCACTCAAAGAGCCAGAGCCTGCCAGTTGGCCAGCCCAGCGACATTCCACTATAGAGATTAAAACCAACTTTATGATTGTGGTGCAAATAATAAAGAGCCTGGCAGGGTTTCCTTCCAAAATGAAAGCTCATTTATTTTCCAAGGTGTATAATTTGGTTGTAAATGTTTCCTTTGGGCCAAAACATCCCAGATTGGGTTCTTGCCTGGAACACATCACTGCTTTGCTGGAGAAGAATGGACTCCGTGTGGTCCTGCCGCATCCATCCACTCAGCATGGAGGGGTTTGAGTTGGCCTGCTCTTCTTTCCATCTGGAGGCAGCAGCCAGTCTGCTGGGCAGAACCAGACATGGGGAGGCAGGAGGCTCTGGGTCTGGACTGGCTGCACCAGCTCCCAAGCCCTGGTCCACCTGTGAAATGGGCAGGCTCACCACTGGCCCTCACTTATGCCTGTTATGGTTCCTCTTGATGGTGGAGAGACTGGAAGATGATTAGGAGACTGTAAGACTCGCCTTTTCTTCTAGGTCTTTGTGTCTCTATTTTATTTATCTTTTCAAAAATCATCCTAAAAAAATCTACCCAGCAATGACTAATATTTGGATAAAGGCAAAGTCAGATTCTTTCCAGGGCTCATGGGCTGACCACATGTACTTGGGGCCAGAATTTGGCCCGTGGTGTGTAGCCAATCTCACCCAAGTATAAACAGCTTTCTCTCCTATATAAGCAGTTTCAGAAATAACAGCGCTTTTTACCAGTTTCATGTTTATCAACTCTCTTCCTTACATCATATACTTTCACCCTATCTTCCATTTGTATCTTCATGGTAAATTCAAAGCCAGTGCTATGCTTTGTGGATAAATATATAGCTATGTATTTATATATTTTCCCCCTCCCAAACAGCTGGTAA